ACATGGTGTCTCCGTTGGACCGCTGTAGAGTTATTTGAGAGTGTTATGATAAAAACAAGACGCTCTTCATGTATGAACCAAACACTCTCCGACAAAGTGTCTGGAAACTGTCCCCTTCTAGACACAACTATATTTTTTACGTGATTTCAAGTTCAAACTTTTGATACGATTAATACACACCATTGGAACTCTCATGCTCAAATTTGACCAGTTTTTTTTATTGGTTTGCTATTTTCAAAGCACTAGCTTGTTTTCTGGCCACTAAAAGGAGAAAAGCGCTCTTTGATTCTACACAGCGTGCAAACGAGTTTCGAAAAGAATGAGACTTGGCATGGTGTCTTCGTTGGACCCATGTAGGGTGTGGTAAAAATTTGAGGACTTGATGGAAAAAACACTCTCCGGTGAAGTTTCAGGGTTTCGAACAGAAACCACCACCTGCCAAACACAAACCAATTTTTATACATCATTTCAACTTCTTCAAACCTTTTTTCACGATTAATACACACCATTGAGACTATTCTAGGTTTAGTAAATATGATTTTTAAGCACTTTTCTGGACTTAAGATATGTGTGGCGGGCGGCCGATACCGTTGCAACCGTAAAGTTTTGGAAACTTTCTACAATTTTGACGCGGGTTGCCGAAATATTTTTGTGGCGGCCATGTTTTTTGCCCGCGACTGGTGCATAACAAACCAGTAGCAGGCACTTTTTCTTTGCCCGCCACTGATGTTTTTGTTTCACTTGTAAATTTGTAAAAGTTTACGAGTGGCAGGTTGTAATTTTTGCTCGTCGCTCAAAATAGCAGTGGCAAGTGCCTACTCGTCCTCGCCAGCCACTAAATTGAGCCCACACCTATAAGTCTTTTCCGAGTAGTGACGGGGTCTTTGCCTAGTTTATTTAGTTTGACATGTACTTTTCACTTGCATGTCGGTAATGTACTGTCTTTGTCGTGCTCCATGTCTTGCCGAGTTCGGCTCTCAGGGTACAACGCGTTTGTCAACAGCCGGTGATTTAGCTCTCGGTATAGTCCACAACGCTCGGCGTACAACGATTTTCCAGTAGTGTTGAGGACAAAGACGAACCGCTAACCGTTGGATTTGAAAGGTCGACTTATTTAAAAAAAAATCGGACAACTGATAAATAGGCGGCCCTCAATTTTATAGTCTTAGAGAAAATTACAAATCTTACCAACACAACTTGTTCAACTGTACTAGCAATGCAGCACTGAGGTGCACCATCGCCCATATATACACATCCAGGCGGCTCAGGCCAGGCCACACCTCAGTTGAAGAAACAGCACAGCGCAAGATCAGTCTGCCAGAGAAGCAAGATGGCCCGCGCCCGGCTGTCCTTCGTCCCCATCTCCCTCCTTCTGCTAGCCAGCCTCGCCGCCGCCGCAGCAGCAGCTGCGGATCCAGAGGAAGGGGACCTCAGGATCAGCGTGCAGTACGCAACCGAGGAGGAGTCTCGGTGGCTTGACCGCTGGGCGGAGAAGTACAAGGCTCAAGGGTCCGGCGAAGGCTTCAAGGTCCAGCCGGCCACCGACGAGGAGTCGGCGCGTATGAACAGCATGTTCACCGGCGTCGGCTACGACGGCCACATCGAGTTTGACGACGACCACCCGTATGTACCCTCCTCACATCACATCCGTCATGTCCACATACTGAATTTTGCCCTGTTTGCTACCCCTACCACTAAACATGCATGTTGAATTTCGCTTCTGGAGTGCAGCTTTGGCAGAATGGTGGTGGATGCCTTCCACTCTCGACCTCGTCCGTCCAAGCCGAACGAAAACGATGATCTGCAGAAGAAGAACCTGGAGGAGCCTCACTCTCGTGCCGAGGTAGATTAACCCGACCGGCACTGCATTAGAGATTCAACTTATGTTGTGTTAACCCTTGTGATTGTCTTCTCAGCATGACGTCAAGGATCTTTAGGAGCATCGTCGGTACCTAATCGGCGAGGTCATTGAACGGAATAAATAAGGGAGGACGGCAGCGAGGAGTTCGTGTCGTCTATCATTAGTCTGTCTTATTTAGTAGCTCGGCTCAAGAGAGATTAGTCATGTTCTAGCAGTAATTCTGGCTTATGCTCCTGTGTGGTGGTCTCCATTTGCAATAGTATCTCTGTTTCTTGCCCACCTAATATAAGTGATATGCAAATCACCTGTTCCTTCTACAATCTAAATCTCGGTAAGCAACCATGAAATCATGTAAAACGCGCTATGGAAAACCCGCAAGGGAAAAAAATTGAATCTTCAAGTTTTTTGAGGTGGTAGTACACAAACACAACAAGGACAACTGCACATGCGGCAAAAGAAAAAAAAAGGGAAACATGGTTTAGGTTCATAATAAAAGAAATAATGAGTGAGTAAATTCCATAACAAGAAAAAAGAGGGAGTAAAGAATTTTACGGGCTGTGAAAATCCAGCAAATATATACAAGCTATTTACATGCATTCAACACACACTTTGGGTGGTGGTACTTCTCTTGAGACAGATAAGGCACGCCCAAAGAGTTGATCGATCACACCAAAGTTGAAGCAGCACCATTGACTCATGCATGATCGCGCACCAAAAGGACATGAATCGTAAACGATGTACAGATCACTAGAAATGTACCTATAAAATCTCTTTCTCTTTAGAAATATCGAAACTCATTGTTGTGAAATTTTAGTTAAGCAGATATTAAATTAGGTACGTCAAAAGCGACAATGAAACCCATGAAAGAAATATGAAATGCATACACAATAAAGGAAATAATGTGTATATAGGAAAAAACAAAAGAGACAATACAGGTAGCTAGGAGAATAATGAGAATAATGAGAAATCATTTTCTGTAGGTACAAAGCCTCATGCTACAAATATCCACGAACAGCCTTTTACATCGATTCCCCCAAAAGAGAGATTTCTACTCTCAAACAAGAGTACAAGACGTCTGTTTCGCTTTCCAACTACTCCATTGACGAGCAAGCAAACAGAAAACACATGCATTGATTCAAGTTCAACACACACGCCGGTCTTGGGAACATTGAGCAAGTAGTAGCAGCTGGTACATGCCTGATCAAACAATACGGCCTAAGTAGATCTGGACACACAATGCATTGATGCTGCTGCTGCTACTTCTTGTGGGCGCATGCACATGCACTACTGGCCATACAATGTTTTTTTTAGAAAAATAGGATGACCCCCGGAGTCTGCATCTAGTCGATGCATGGAGTCATTTTATTAATTATTCAAAAAGACATTATAAAGTAATACTTCAGTAAGTCCGAAGCCACCATCATGGCAACATCTGTCACAACTCTTAACCACTTAATGAAGGGGTGCCGAAAGTCCGAACGGAATACCAAACAGACCTCGCACCAAAATCTAACATATAAAGCCGATGGCCCCAGCGAAGCCTCTTGGCGGGTCTAGGGCACACACCGGTCCAGCGCACTCTAAGAGGCCGCCACCGCCTTCCATCGATCCATCGTCAGAGCAGATACTGACGCATCGACCTTGACAGGTATGCCGTCGACGCCACCATGGCGCTAGATAACGCCTCCTCCCTACATGTGTCCATCATCATACATCCGTTGCCGAGACCCTGCTACGACATGCTGCCGAAACTCCACACCATCGATGCGTGACATGGGACACCGCTCCACCGCTAAGATCGTCCACTGGTCCCTCGAGCCAATGCACACTTTCAACAATGATGTTCCAAGGAGGGAATGACACAAGAGCACCGCCATCATCTGATCGACTGGTGAAGGGTTTCCCCCGAAGGTAGCGAGAGGACATGTGAGCTTCAATTCGATGATGCCAGCAACAAGAGCACAACTCTGTACCGATCGAGCTTGCTCTTGTACACTAGAGGAACCCTAATCAACACTCACAAAAAAAGACCTGATCAACGTTTAGATTGATCCCTTATCTATTTGTGTATGTATATGTTCCAAGAGTAACAGTTATCCAGGTGACAGTGAGGCCGATGTTCCTTTTGTCTTTTTTCGAAGTGCCAGTGGGAGTTCGGAAAAGACTCGACTTCTATCGATCCTGTTTTTTCTGACAAAGTGATGAGTTGAAGAGAAAGTATAGATTAGCTAGATAGGACATTATTTGTCGACCAAAGGACCAGGGGGGGTCTTGGTATCAAAAATCTTGAGGTAAAGAACAAATGTCTCCTCAGCAAATGGTTGTATAAGCTTTCTCGAGAGACCGAGGCCACTTGGACTCATATTGTGCGTAATAAGTACCTTCAGTCCAAGACCTTATCCCAGGTGACAGTGAGGCCGATGGATTCACCTTTCTGGAAAGGCCCGATGAGAGTTAAATCGCTCTTCTTTAACCAGACCAAGGTGGTTATCGGTAACGGTACTTCTACAAGATTCTGGGAGGATACCTGGCTAGGGGATACGCCATTGGCGGTACAGTATCCTACTATCTATAGCATTGTTCAACGGAGAGATGCGACCGTTGAGACGGTATGTCCGTCCACGCCTTTACATATTAGCTTCAGGAGAGCTTTAGCCGGTAACCATTGGGAAGCTTGGCTCCATCTTGTGAGAAGACTGATGAAGATTCAACTTTCTCAACGTCCAGACCAGTTGTGTTGGAAGCTTACTAGAAATGAAGAATTTACGGTCAAATTGATGTACTTGAATGTTATTAATTCTAGTTCTATTCCTACGTCGAAACATGTTTGGCATGTCAAACTTCCCTTGAGTGTTAAAGTGTTCATGTGGTTTGTGCATAAACAAGTCATTTTAACTAAGGATAATTTGATTAAACGCAACTGGACTGGGTCCAGTCGGTGTAGCTTTTGTGATAGAGATGAAACAATCAAGCACCTCTTTCTCGATTGTCCTATGGCAAAAATTCTTTGGCAATCAGTGAACATAGCCTTTAATATTACTCCTCCACATAATATTAACACTTTATTTGAAACGTGGTTGGATGGGATTAAGCCCCAAATAGGGAGACACATTCGTGTAGGAGTATGTGCATTATTATGGGCTATCTGGAACTGCAGAAATGATTTAGTCTTTAACAGAATATCAAATACTCATTTTTTGCAGGTTATATTCCGAGCCACTGCGTTGATCCGTATGTGGTCATTACTCACTCCGACGGAGGCTAGGGAGCGTTTGTTACTGGATCTATCCGATGAAAGATGGTAGCACGGGATATTTTCAGCCGGTTTGGACGGCGCTCATGTAATAGGATAGGCAATTAGTTTTCCTGTCTTTCTCTTGCCGGCCGGCTGTGGCTTTTGTTTTTGCTCCTTAGCTCTCTCTGAGCAGCTTTGTTTGAGACTTTTAGACTTGTGTTAAACCTATTTGCTTGTTTAATAAATGTGGCGGTATGCATCTCTCCGATGCAGAGACCGAAGATGCCCCTTTAAAAGAAGAGAGTAACATTTATCCTTAGTTGGCCAGAGTACCTTTATTAGTTTCTTCGCTGTGTTTCTTCTAGCAAATTACTCAGTTATTGAAAATCTCTAACACGTGGAGTAGGCCAAAATGTTGTACTCTCTTTAATCTATATCTAGATACATACATTTAAGCGACAAGTAATATGCATCGGATCAAATATTTATATTCTTATTCGTGAGCAAACAAACACGTTGCCTGCTGTTTCACTTACTGGGAGTCAAAGCACATGGATGGATGGAACCCCAGACCCTCCCTGCCGATGTACTCCTATTGCTCATGTATTTGTAACAGATGGAGGCCAAAATCACAGTTTTAACATTATGGTCAAAATTCCGCATCATTTGACCCCGCTTTGAAAGTTTGCCTGGATACGACCAAAAAAATTCTGCCTCACAGGCTGGCGGTAGGGATAATGAGCTACCACCTGGGCCTCCGGAGGTAAGACCAACTCCACCATGCCGACTCATTTTGTCCAATTTTGTAAATTTGGTTCCGTAAGAGTAAAACCCATGCTCAACACGCGAACGCAAATGCAAATTATGTCCGTCTCACGTGTTCATCCGGATGCATTTCTGACACAAATTTGTGCCCATTTTACGTTCACACAAACATGAGAAGGATTGGCCGCGCATCTGCTAGGTATCTACCTCATGCCCATGTGTCGACCACCCAACCACCACCCACCGGTCGTTTTAAGTCCACGCATGCGAGGGACTCCGCACGTCAGCCACCCAACCTACACCTGCATGTCCTTCTAATGCCACGCGTGCGGCAGAGGGGGGCCGCCCAGTCTACTTCCTCTCATCTTCTTCCCCTTGCGTCCCAGCCGCCCGACACCCAGCCCTAGCAGCCGCCTACATTGGGGTTCAGGAAGCGCGGCAAGCATGATTACGAGGCCGGCGGCCAACTACACCATGGCGTCGTCAGGTGTAAACCATGGCTAACCTTCGCCTCCATGTGTCGGTCCATTGTTGTCGGTACTTCTGGGAGCATGGTGTTCCGGTGCCGCGGCCCGACGTGAACCGGACACACCAATGGCATCTCATCCTCGATAGGGTTCCGGTGCAGGCGGTGCCTAACACAGACCACGCGTGGCTGGCGGAGATCCGCCGCCGCCGTGCTCAACTCTAGGCCAACCTCCGCCGCAACCTAGCATACGTCGTGGACTCGCCGAACTAGGATATGTGGTTGGCCACCAAGCATGACCAACGCTATTGGTCAAACTTCGAGGGTGCGCCCTATGAAGGAAATATGCCCTAGAGGCAATAATAAAGTTATTATTTATTTCCTTATTTCATAATAAATGTTTGCTAAATATAAACTGCTATTCTATACTCCATTTGATTATATAGTGTCACTAGTATGCCTCTACTTGATTAGCTCGTTGATCAAAGATGGTTATGTTTCCTAACCATAGACATTAGTTGTCATTTGATAAACGGGATCACATCATTAGTAGAATGATGTGATTGATTTGACCCATTCCGTTAGCTTAGCACTTGATCGTTTTAGTTTA